TTATAACTGTAATGACATCATAATAATAAAGAGAATTCACAATTTGATTTTATGTAAGTTACATAAATGGCGAGTTTTTTAATTATGCGGTAATATAATAGCAAAAGCAAAAGTTGTTATGTTCTTTCGATAGTAATAAATTCTTATCGTTAAAAAGATGGATTTATGCGGCTTGTTACTTCGGCGAAATAATGTCGATATTAATCTATAGAGAAATAACTAATTGTGACTATAATATGAGTAATTACGTTACATAAAAAAAGATTATAAAATCCTGTGGTAAATTACTTAATAGCGCTGCGTCTGTGCTGTCGAAGATAATAAGCTTCACTCAATAGACTTATAAGTGATTCAGTAATGTATAAATCTATTGCAATTAATAGTTTGTTTTATATTACATACATATAATATGTATGTATATATATTTATATATGTCACTTAATATAATTATATAATTATAAGTATATAATCGTGTATTAATTTTCTTTGTCATTTTCAGTTCCTAGCATGAAAAAACGTAATTAGTTTCGAAACAATCTTTGCACGATCAGTAACGCGTTGCATATTTCTTGCGCGAAAATAACACAATAATTAAATAGTCGCAAAAAAACAACATTAAAAGATAACATTCTAAGATAAAAATCGTATCAAAAAATTTAAACTAATATCCTCAAAGTATTCAAAAATAATCTGAAAAATATTATTATACAAAATCACTCTCTTGTTTCCATCTCATATACATATATTTGGCACCCCTTATATGCATGTAGCATAATACTCGTCTTTCGACTACAGATAATGATGTATCGATGACGGGATGAATTGGTCCATCGAAGGTCACTCTCATTAACCTGATCGTTCATCGGCAGATATATCTTATCCCTATACACCGCATTATATAGGGCGATGGTCTCCCTTCTCCTAGCCGGCCGAGCGTTATCGATTGTTACGAACACCGTCGTCAGAACCGTAGCAGAGAATCGCGGTGCCTACAGCGAATTAATTTCAATCTGTCTGTTTCAGCAGGACAAGTAAAAAAAAATTCTCGGATTATAATTTTTAGAAAAAAAAAAAAGAGAGGAACCAAAAATCCATCGCAGAGTTTTAGGAAAAGTGATAGCAAATGTAACGATTATAATCTTACAGTTGATTCGCAGTCAATATAGACGCTGATTCCTTTCCTCAGCTTCCTTTCATCTCGCGAGACAAGGGTGATATCTCGCGTACGGACGTTGCGACGCGTCGACTTTCCGTCGATTGTAACACGCATGACGACAGAAGTGGCGCCGGTCAGAAATGGGGACCGCGGACCAGTTACGGGTCTGCCCGTGCAGTTTGATAACGCGCTAAATGTGCACTTTCCGCGCGCGAGACCGTGTGTCCGCATCCGCAACCCTCCACCGGCTGCGCCAGTCGCACGTTGGCCGATGACGGACGCGCACGGGGTGAAAGTAAACGTGTCTCCGACCGGCGACACGCTACTCCGGGGTAAGTGTAACTCGACTTCGGATTTAGTCATCCGGTTTGTCCAGCGGAGTGGCCCGATCTTTCCGGACATTCCCGGGACGTCCTGTCGTTTTGGAAATTCCCGGGGGTGACAAACATTTCTTGTAATTTATTCTGCTTTCGAGTTAAGCGGATTGCAGAGATCCGCTTTTGCATTTTATTTCTCACCTTCAAACATAAAGCGATTATGAAAACAACACTGACTTTGACGCAAAATTACTTTGTGTTTTATGGAAATAAAAAGAGTATACTTCAACCACAAGAAATGAAACGCATCCATTATGCATTTCAAATCTTTTTACATGTACGAGATTATGTAATTTTGAGGAATACATTTTCCGTCTATGAAAGTCTGATTGCTTTTAAATATTTTGATGGACATTTCAGAAATTTGAAAAATATAAGAATATGTTAAATTTTATTCATTAATAGAGTATCTTTTTATTACAATTATATTCATATTGCAACTTTTATAGAAATTCAATTTAATATACCGATCATTTTACGCTAAAAATTACTTATTTTTAGCATTAAAAATACTAAACAACAGTGATCTTATTATTTAAAATAAATAAATAATCACTATCTTCTATTATTAAATTCCTGTAAGGCAATATTATCATTTGGCATCCTTTCATTTTAAAATACATTCTAAAAAAATACATAAGCGATTTTTAATCTCCATGAAAGATTTCTTCTTCATTAATTATGTATAATTGAGAAATATAATCATAAATTTTTGTTGAATGTACACTGAGAAAAAAGTTGTTAACTTGCTAAATGTGTTTAGTTCATAGTGAATATTTAGTTCAAGTATTTAAATATTTAAGTTAAGTATACCTGAGTCATGTCAACAAAATTTTGTAATTTAAAACATTTTACTTGTTTGAATTAATAAATATTTGCTTGACAATCCGCTACATTTAGTTGAATCAACTAATATTTTTTTTAATCAACAACTTTTTCTCAGTGTATCTTCTCTTTATAATGTTTGTTGTATTAAATTATTGTAAGGAAAAATTACCATCTTGGCATCTTTTTATTTTAATTCTGTAATAAAGAAATACACAAACAATTTTTTATAATCTTCATGAGAAATTTCTTCTTCATCAATTTCAAATTAGGTATAATTGAGAAATATAATCGTACTAAATTTTTGTTCAATGTAAGTTTCCTTGCTGTCTTCTATTTGTAGTATTTCTCAATTCTCCTTATATCAAAATTTAAAAATGCAGAGAGATCGGACCACCCGGTCCGTCGGACGACGCAGATACTATCGTATTCGATTTTTCACCCGCTGTCGGATACACCAGTTGCATTTCCGCGCATAATTCACGAGCGAAGATTATTCCTGTCTGATCGTAACACATAGCGCATATACAAGATATCGGAAAATCTTTCAGACATCGCAAAGAGTATCGGCGCGAGCGTATTGGTGTCGATGAAGGAGACGGCGAACAACGCGGCGATATAATGGCATCCAGGAAGCCGACCAAGTACGACGATTCGTAAAATCGCGAAGATGGAATTGCGAAAAGGCTCCTGGAAGATCGCGATTCTCGTGTGTGCATTGGTCATCTACCTGTGGATGCTCTTCGTCGATCATTCGCACGTGTTAACTGACATATCGCAGAAGATCACACTACAAAAAACGCGAGTTCCCTCAAGGTCTGTCTTGTATCAAAGTTCTGATCGATCTAGGATCGAAGACATGCCTCCGGATGGCCGGACGGATTCGAAGAAATCGCAATCTCTTTTACCTCGAAACGTAAGCGATACGCTCGAGGGAGGTATATCGGAGTATCAGACACTTAAGCAACAAGGTCTGCTACCAAGCCGGCAATTACCGACCGCTCTGATAATCGGCGTGAAGAAAGGCGGAACGAGAGCCCTTTTAGAGTTCTTGAGATTACATCCCGCAATTCGTGCCGCTGGCTCCGAGGTTCATTTCTTCGATCATCATTACGTTAAAGGATTTCGTTGGTACAGGTGCGTGCGACAAATCGTTTCAACGATTGAAACGCAATACAGCACTCATCCACTTAAAAGTTTCGTAATTGCAAATTTCTGAGATATATAATTCCATTCTGTTTCTCCTAATTGTCTTTTACATTCAATTAATAACAATTTCTTCGAGTAAAAACAAAGATCTTTACTGAAATAAAGATAAAGACTGAAATAAAGATATCGAATATAATATTTTAAAAGTAATTAATTGTAATTAAATGAATAATTTAATAATTTCATTTTTTAAATGTTGGTATATAAAACATAATAGTTTCAAATTCAAAACTAATCTCTTTAAAGAATTTTTTACTTGTTCTTTTGCATGAGATATTCCTCCATCTCATTGTCTTTTTTCATTGGAGATATTCTCTATAATATATTATAATGTCTCTAACAATTTTTCTAATAATGAGCGGTATTCATAATCCGTATAACTTTTATCTTAAGACCGTCTTAAGTAATAATGTTTAAGATACTAATACAGCTCTTTGATTGGCTCATAACATCTTAAGTCTTAAAAATAAAATTCAACTATGAATACTTGCCAATGTCTTTAATTATATAATATGTTTCTAACAATTCTTAATAATAATCAGACGCAGAATGCCTCCAACTCTGATCGGTCAGATCACCATGGAAAAGACGCCATCGTATTTCGTGACAAGCGAGGTGCCGAAAAGGGTGAAGCACATGAATCCAGGGATGAAGCTGATCGTTGTGGTGAGAGATCCCGTGACCCGGGCGATCTCCGATTACACACAGGTGAAGAGTAAGCGTCGCAAGATGCCACGCTTCGAAGACCTGGCCTTCCTTAATGGATCAAAGATCGTAGATACTTCCTGGATGCCTCTAAAGATTGGAGTCTATGTGCGGCACCTGGAACGATGGTTACAGTACTTCCCGCTGTCGCAGTTTTTATTCGTATCCGGCGAACGTCTGATCGCCGACCCGGTGACGGAGGTCACTCGGGTGCAGGATTTTCTGGGTCTCAAGCGGGTGATATGCGAGAAACATTTCTATTTCAACGCTACTAAGGGCTTCCCTTGCTTGCTCAAGTCGGAGGACCGCGCAACGCCGCACTGTCTCGGTAGGATAGTTGAAAATCGGTCTCAAAGAGAACTTGCAGATCGTATAGAAAATAAAATAAATTCCTCCATGTGAAAGAACGGTTTTGCTGAAGTTTTTAAAAATTTAATTAGACACAGATCTAAAAATAATTTTGTTGGATCGTTAAAATAATTATGTAGGACATTCAAACTGGAATGTGCCAAAACTTTTTGCAGCATTGCTTATTATGTTTGAGATTAATACGTAATTTAATTAATACAACAAGATTATTTTCAGAACTTATTTAACTACGTTTTTTAGATACTTTAGAAAAAAATCGTTATTTCTATGTCGGGAAGCAGAATGCACACACTGCAACAATTATTTCGACATTAACATAATATCAAATATAATTATAATTATAATATAATTATATAATATAATTATATATATAATATAATTATAATTTCACACTCAACAATATAAATGTAATAACATATGGTGTTACGTAAAAATTATATTGTTGAGACTGCGAAAATTAATGTCATGTTACTTTTAATTAGTGTAATTGGTTTAATTGTTATCATTAAAAATCTATTTTCGCAGAAATTATAAACAGAGTACGGTTTAAGATCGTTGTTGATTTTAAATGGTATAGTACTTGATATTTTTTCAGAAATGAAGCTATATGTCGGTCTTTCTCATTAATTTTTAACTGTAAAATTTTTCTTCGCTAAAAATCAATCTTGAAACTTTTTACGAAATGTATTATTTGATTCACAATAGAATATTGCAAAAATATGTAATGTTCGATATAAATTGATTGTTATTTTTCAGGAAAAAACAAAGGTCGCAGTCATCCCTACATCGATCCCATGGCGGTTCAGCGTCTTCGAGATTTTTATCGCCCATTCAATCAACGATTTTATCAATTGGCGGGTATGGATTTCGGCTGGTACTAAAATCCACGCGTATCGCATACATACATATCGTAAGCAGGAAAAGCGGAACGGAGTCAATTGTCGTCAAGTACTTGTTACGATATTTGTTATCCTGAATATCCTGATAATCTGATAAGAATATTGCAGTCATATCAGAACGCGCCATTAATGCATGTTAGTGTTTGAATAATTAAGACTTTTCGAAAATCTTGCTTTCGATAATGTAGTAATTTTAATTTCATCTAATTTTAATACTTTTAAATTAAATTGTGAGAAAACATATTTTTTCTAATTTTCTTAATTTAATGTAACTAGAATTAATTTCTAAGTATTTTTCCAAATCTTGCTTCCAATAATGTAGTCATCAATTTCATAAGATTTTAATCTTCTAAAATTAAATTGCAAAATTTAGAACATATATCTTTTCTAACTTTTTGTTATATAATTTAAATATATGTAGCATTAAATAATCTCTATAAGAATTCTCTAATAGAAATCAATGTTTTCTGTTTGTAACATAGTTAGATTAATTAGATTCGTAGTTTAGTAAATATTAGATTTGCCAAGAAATAGAAAGGAATGATTCTTTTAAAATGATGAGCGCACAGTACCGTCCGGAAGTTCGTTTATGAAAAGGAACCGCGACATATCTATATAATTATCCTATAATTCTTATTATCATAATAAGACTATAAAGTAATGAGATTATATCTGAGATTCATATTAAAGATACTTCTATATATATATACAATGAAAAGAATATAAAATCTGTATGACTATATATATAGAAACACATATATAATAAAATAATATGTGAAAATGAAAAGAAAATTTTAGATATAATAAATTTCTTTAGGTCAACGTCAAATTTATCGAATAAAATAAAATTAATTTAATATTGTCGTATATGGTTGAACCGAATGCTAATATTAAACCATTTATCGGTTTTCTTCATTATTATTATTTTTTGACTTTTCATTTTTAATCTAGTAGGTTAACACGATAGTGCAATTATTAATATATCTCTCTTTGTACTTTGGTAAATTTAAGCGAAATGTAACCACGAACGCGGTAACCATTATGCAACGAAAGGGTAAAGTGATTAAAAAAATTATCAGACAAAAATTTATTCGCGTTGGCCATATTGTAGGAAATATATCTTAAAATTTTTGTAATTGTGCTGTTTTAATTGTATCATCAAATTTATAATTTTAATTAATTTTTAAGTAATATATAATTAAAATGAACTTTTTTACTTTACAATGAACATTTAATCCATTTTCATCTGCACATATAATATCACGTATATTAGATCGTGGTTTATATGCAAAATAATTTATAAATTTTATTATAATTATGTTTAAAAAATTTGTATTTTATATTTAATTCGCATATGTAAAATTTCTTAATTTTTTAATACTATGCTGAATAATCGCTTCGCGATATTAATTCCCTTATTAACAATTCATATGCATTTGTTTTTAATAACACGTAATGTATAGTATGACAATGATGGACAAGTATAGAAATAGCAACATTCGCTAGTTTCTAAGTATTAAAATCTAGTCAATACAATTAGCAAAGATACGCGTATTTATAGAACAGCTGGATAAAAGACTTCCGATATAATTAAATCATGAATTAGATTTAATTATGCAGAGTATAACGTGTTAAATTCGGGGATAAAAATAATGATAATATTTCATTACTGAGCTCGACAGTTTCTCAAGATATGGATTTATTTCTAACTTTGTTTTAAAATACTTAAATATGCTTATCTCCAATTCCTGCATTTCACGATATATTCTGTAAGTCAGCATTTATAAGATAAAGCTAACGACATTAGTATATTATGAGATGACAAATCCGAACACGAAGAAAAATTAATTCAAACGAGGAAGATAGGAAGTTAGCGAATTATTCCGTAAATTCTAGAAATTAGAGCGCAAGGTATACGTTAATACTTGTATGTAAGAAAGAGTAACAATTAAGTAATGTACTTAATTCGACAACAATCGGAGGACTATATATTTATTTAGTATGTAAGAAATGAAAGTAGACATTTAGCGATACGATCAGTGCGAATGATGATGTAATAGTGAAAAGCACAGTGCTTTTGCTCAAATTGTACTACAGGAGGCTGTCAACCTAATATAAGTATTTCATACATTGTTTTAAATATGTTTTGAATACAGATTGTTTGACAAATAGAGCAAAATATGTACATAAATGTTATGCAAAATGTTTAAAAATCGCAATTGACCCATTGATAGATGCTATATAAATAGATTCGTGCCTTTTTGTAGCCGTTTTATTATAAATAGCACGCTATCGTTACGTAGAAACCGCTTGATTCCCAATTAAATTCCCAATCTCTTTTCTTTTGATGTTTCATCTTTGGCACTGAAGATGATATTAATTTGTGATTTGAAAATCATGAACATAACTTATTTTTTTAGAAGAATTTATTAAAAGAATATAATTTGTAAGAGAAATATCTAAGCATACAATACAAAGTATAATGCAGATAGAAAATCTGTGTGATAATAGTTATACATAAATGAATATTTCAATATAAATTCCCATATATTTTTCTACTTTTGCACTACAATAGAGGTTCAAAATATAGAGATCCAAAATTAAATGAATATAAAAATATATAATAATAAGTGCATTGTCTTTTTCAGACCACAAGATGAATTAGACTGCAAGGAATATTCATCGCCGCAAAACATCGTTTTGAAACATTAAAAATCAGTATTATATCATAAATAATGTCAGTATTCTAGATTCTTAATAATTCCATTGTAAAACGACGTAGTAAATCGCAAACTACGCACACAACTATTACTACCATTGTCGTCATTAATGTCACAGTAAGTAATTATTTTTATCTATTACTAGAGCAAATGATATTTCAGATGCAATATCGATTTATTTTCCAGCGAAATATTGTTTCTTTGCAGAAAACTCAATCCGAAACTTTCTAGAAAATTAAATTCATTTCTCGAGGCCTCAGAGATTTCTCTTGAATATCGAATATTCGGAGATTATTTATCTTCATTCAAACTCCCAATTATAAAAAGATTTACTAAACAGTCTATTGTTAATCTGTTTAAACAAGGGACGGAAGAATAGGCTATAATTCTTCGCTCATTAATATCCTGTATTCTTGCTGGTCTTGAACCATTTTCTTGAATACGCGATATTTACGAAAATGATATCTGAAATAATTAAAAGATATGTGAAATATATGAAAATTTTTTTTAAATATATTTTTTTTAAATAAATATCAAATAATAACATAATAATTTTCTTTAAAGTTAATTTGTATTCCACCAGAATTTTATAGAAAAATGCAATATTTTTTTAATTGTTCTCCTATCTTATTAATCATTTTTTTACTTGTAACATTCGCTCGTTGGTTTCACTATGTTTGCCGATCCCGCCATTCTCTGAATAGTCTCATGTATAGAATATTTTCTCGTAGCACATGCTCCAAGGATTGCCGCGCCTACCAAAACCGATTCTCGCTCCACGGGGCAAAGTACTGGTAATGCCAACACATCGGCTTGTATTTGAATAAATAGTGGATTTTGACTGAGTCCACCACAAACTAGTATACTCTCGATATTGTGGCCGGCCGCCGATAAAACTTCAATTATATGCTTCGTACCATACTGAAAATTAATATAACGTTAATTAGAAAATATATTACCTTATTGTGAATAAGATGATTTTATCTAACAAAAATCATTTCAGTGTCTAATTTTTAAGTATATTAGTTTTAAAAAAATATTTTTGTATTTTCACATAGAATGTACGAAATAATGAAAACCGATTTAGATAAAACTCTTTGCACTATAGCTTTTAATGAGTTAGAACTATTTTTAATTTGCTCTTAATATACCGTCAGTGCCTGTACTGCTGCCAAGTATAATAACGCTAGATTTTCCTGATCCACAGATAAAGATAATCCAGATACCTAACATATAAATAAATAATATATAATATAAAATTATATATATATATATCTTTTTATATCAATATAAGATTCAAAAAAAGAATATGTGTCTCAATACCATTCCTTTCAATGTTGGATCAGCGAGAGGCGAACGATTACCATGAAAATCCGGCCACACATGTATATCCTTAGTCAGATACGACACGTTCTGCAGATTCTTTTGCTCAGCCATAACGTGCAATAATTCGGACAAATGTTGTTGAATATGTCTAAAATAAATTCGTTTTCGTACATATTCATTTACAGTCTCGTTTCGACGAACTCACTTATTGCCGCTCAAACTCATCAGGATTCCCGGCGTCGCAGGATGCGTATCAATGACATGATCAAGCAGCTTTCCGGTAGCACTTTGACCTCCCTCATTGAGCCAGAAACCGGGCACCATCGCGCTATAGTACGGGCCCCAAACGCCATTTACAAATATCTTGTTCTCATTCACTATCATATGACAAGTTGAAGTGCCGCATATTAAAGCTAAAAATACAATATACTTTATATTATATTCTTTTCCTTTTTGGCTGAGCAATGCTTATCGTAAGTATCTTGCGAACCCAATCGGTTGGAGAAATTCGAGGACACATCTGATGCATAACATCCAATCATTCCAAGACCACCGGCGTGTGCGTCAATTAACGAGGTCCCAACTGGTGTTCCTTTCAATAATCCCAATTCTGCCGCAGCTTTCGTCGACAATCCGGATTCAATCGCATCACCAGGTACTCTTATATCGTTCCCTTAACATTAATATTAATTTTTATTAAGATAAAATAAAAATTTAACCATAAAATTCTCGTGTCTTATATATTCAAAATAAAATAAAACATCATGATTTTAACAGAATGTTTATTTTACAGTTGTTGGAAGTTTTCTTCCAATTGAATTGATTGGATTATACTTTTAAATCTAGAAAAGTTCTATCTCAACAAACAAAATCTTCAACAGTTGCAAAATAAACATTCTGCTAAACACGGTTTTTGTTTTACAATATCGAAATTAACTGAATAATTTACAATTTGAATAATTTATTAATATACCTATTTTTCTCCAATTATCTTTTTTCAGATCTCGTAAATTGAGCTGTTCAAAGAAATCCTCATCCCATCCGTTCTTACCAATAGGATTAGCGCTATAATTCCACTTACACACTAACGAACACAATGATCTGAAACAAAAATGAAGAAATGATTTAACTTCTCTGCTTTTTCACATACTAAAAATAGAAGAAAGAATTTAAGCATTGAGGATTCATACCGGGATTCCGATTCAGTGGCTTTCCACGTTAAGAAGTCTGGTAGGTCAAATAGTAGCGCGGCAGAATTCCAAGACGCAGGCAAATTCTTTTTGAGCCACAGCATCTTTGGTGTTTGCATTTCGAGAGAAACTTTGCCGCCTACATATTGCAATACATCGTGACCTATAGAGTTAATAAAGTCAGCTTCCTCGTGTGCTCTGTGATCCATCCACAGTATGACATTTTGTTTCTCTTGTCCTGAACAATTAATACATTAATTTTTTATATATCACAATAATATTACATTGTACACTATTACGTGAATTCGATACAAAGTTGAAATAAGAAAGAAATAGCCATTTGTCCTTTCTTTGTACCTGTAGGACTAACTGTTATTGGTAAACCTGCTTCATCTACAGCCACCATTGAACAAGTAGCATCGAATCCAATTCCTTTAACATCCTCTGCAGAGATATCAGCAACAACTGACTGAAATAAAATTATAATCTCAAATCTAATATTAAACAGTATAACTATATGTGCTGTTGCAAAAATCTAATTTTACCTTAACAACGTGGCACACGGCACTCCAAATATTATCAGATGATTGTTCATAAAAGTTTGGTGCAGGATGAAATATCTCGAGCGGGCATGTAGCCACCTTCTTTATCTTCCCACTCGAAGTAACCAAAGCCGCTCGAACACTTCCTGTCCCCACATCCACACCTACAAAGAAATCCATATTCGTCACAGTTGTGGACAGATTGCATCTGCAATCTTGCGTCGAACAGAATCGACTAAATGCTTCGTATCCAGCTTAGGCATGAACTGTAAGGAGAAAACGACCATTAACCAATCATACTGTATGTATTAATCATCGACATATATTTTTAAGATGACATGACCCTGAGATAACATTAATTACGAAGCAGATATGGAGTATATAAAGACTTCAAATAGTATAAAGTGTTATCAGCTAACACTTCTTTATCCAACAATATACACACAAATACTGCATTGAACACAAATAAAACATGATTTACTTGCTTCTTGTGGCTCATCGGCAGCTACAGAATAGCTTTTAACAGCAATTAGCAAAATGTATACAACATATGGTGTAATTAACACTTCAAATAACAGAATATCTCAGGAGCAAAATTATTAAGCAAAACTATTGCTTGCAACATAATCTGAATGAAATTCAGAGGCATGTAGAAATATCTTTCCCTAAATTATTATCTTGACCTTACAATCACCGCGCGCTTCTACAACTTACGACTGCCACGTTTCGCTCTGTTATACTTACATATTTAAATAAGGAACTGTTGTTACATACTTGGTGAAAGTATTGACAATCACTTTAATCGACGTCACGGTGATGTAACGTGACATCGCGATGTCACTCGATGTGTTCTCCGGCGAGGAGGCACGGATCAATGCATGATGAATATGAAAAATGCCCTGCACAATCGTTGTGCGAAAACTGCTGCATATTAGCCCTTATTGTATACACGCGTGCATGCACGTGTATCGTACCAAGTCGTGCGCTTGATACCAATAAGACCTAACCGTACCTGAATACGCACCGGACGCACGTGTAGCTGGACACGCTGGAGTGGACTCGCATTTGCGTTCGCTTCGTACAATTTGTGTTCATTTTCGTTCCCGTGAAAATAACGTTTATTACTCTGAATTTTTCTTTGGACTAACGGAACAGCATGGACTTTCAGAATTCCGGTGGCTGTTAAACTAGGAGTGGAATTGCGTTTGCGATTGTCAGTACTGTTATTGAGATAACCTGAAACATGGTCCGCTTTAAAAACAGGTGACTTGTTAAACTCATGGTTGAATTTACTATTGAAATTGTAAAGTTTCTAACTTGACTTATAATCGTATCTTGTCATTTCTGTTATTATATTTGCTTAGATATGTTGTTTTTACAATAAAGCCACATAACGATAGTGATGACAAGCAGGCGGCATGGAAGAATACGCATGTGTCTAATGCAATTAAATTGAAGGTGCAACAACTATATGGGGATGTTGGAGTTGCAGCGATAAAGGACGGCTTCGATGGTAATTGAATATTAGAGAAAAATTTGTAATTTTAGAACGGAAATTCATAGACGTTGCTTAAGATTCAAGATAATCTTAAGCTACTGTAGGAAACCAATCAGAGAGCCATATTAGCATCTTAATGCCTTTAATGTATTTATAGTCAGACCTTGTACTAAAGGCTTCCTTAAATTTATCTTTAAATGTTCAGTATCTAATCAATGAAATAATTCGTAGAGCATCTGAAGATAAATTTAAGGAAGCCTTAAAAGTTAAATATAAAGACTATGGCTGGTATCATAGTCGGATCTTATATTCAAGATCATCTTAAGTAGTCACAAACCAATCAGAAGGCTGCATTAGTATCTTAAGACGATCTTGAAATAAGAATCGACCATGAATACCTATTGTCCGTATTCATAGTCATAGTCCGTATTCATAGTAGACCTTGTACTTAAAGCTTCCTTAAATTTATCTTTAGATGCAGCAATCAATGAAATAATTCATAGAGTATTTAAAGATAAATTTAAGGAAGCCTTAAATATAAAGCTTAATTATGAATACGAATATATCAATAGAGATAATAGAGGCGCCGAGTGGCTCGCTGCTCAGTGCGATTGACTCGTGATCCGATTAGATTCGGGTTCGATCCCACGTGCGCCCTGCAATACGCGATTTTTTGCATTCGGCATTTTAAACATGATAACAAAAAGTATTCTCGTACTAAATGTGGAAATATATCGATCCAAAAAAGAATTCTATAAAGACTTTAGAGAGAGATATGATAATATTTAATCTATTGGAAAATTACATAACTCTCTCTCTAAATCTTAATAAAATTCTTTCTTGATATATTTCCACACGATTTATATAGTATATAACACGATTTATAGTTATACTTTTTGTTATTTAACATATAAATTTGGACATACTGAAATTTTACTTGAGATTAAGGACGGACTATAGATTCCAGCCTTTTTATTATTAGTCTATTTTCTTAGGCTATTAAGCCTAAATACAAGTTTGTTTTTTTGCTGCAGCAAAATACTGTAACGTACAAACGAAAATAGCAATAATAAGACTGAGGCATGGGCCTCATAAATATGCATTACATGCTATCCCGCTGATAAACGATGTAGGTGGGCGACTAGTCAAAACGGAGATTCTGTATATAGGAGCGACTCTGAAACATTGTTTTCTCTTTATCAGAGTAAGATTTGCAACATTCACCTATTTTACTTGTGCCTAGTTAAGAAAGAAAAATATTTTCGTTCCTCTATTTCTTTTAGAAACATCAGGAAAAGAAGCTAGAACAGTTATGGTCAAAATTGCCAACAGAAACCGAGAAAAAACGGATGGAGACTTTTTTGATGACTCTGACCCCTGCTATGAAAGACTTCAAGTAAAAATCGTTATAAATAATGAATTGTTTTTATTTTAAGTTTATAAATAAAAATAAATTTTAATATATCTCATGAATTAAATACATTAATATCTGGTCACAAAGCAATTTCATGAAATCTTTTTATATCTTTCCACAACGAAATATAAGCGATGTCATTAAACTCTTTCTTTTCTCTCTCTGTTTTTTTTTAATTTTGCTTCGAAGTTTAACTTAGAGTTTAGTGTCCATTTTTATCAAGTAGAACTTTAATCTTCATTCAATTTATCATCTTTTTTTTTAATTCTTAGGTCCAGTTCCACCAATGTAAGATTAACTTTAATTTTTCGCTTTAACTTAGTCTTTATCTTTTTGACTTTTTCTCATTCTCATAATTAAAAAAACATAAAGAGTAAATTTATCCGAGATTAATATTTTACATTGATGGAACCCTAAGAATTAAAAAAAAAGATGATAAGTTGAATGAAGATTAGAATTAAGAGAAGAATTAATTGAATTGAAATGTAAAATTAAACAGTGGTAGAGAATATAGTGGGCATAAAGTTTTTCGAGACGCCTCTCTCATACGATACCGTTATCTGCAGAGAATATCTTTAGCGATCGGACCACAAGGACCGTTGCCACCTCTCGCCAGTTGTCGCTGTTCGTTGCTGGAGGTCTCCCTTCCCGCCCGCCATCACGGCGGTGTGTCCCGCCGTTATCCTGCCGTTTGTCGTGCACTCGTTCGGATCAGTTCAAATTGTCTCGGAGTGTTCTGAAGCGTTCGCTAACGGCAACGAGACAACTCCAAAGCTACTCCGCGATCCGTGAACCTTGAGACTCATATACCTGCAATTCGTAATCGACAAAAAACCGGGAGAGGCGTGCATCGAAAGAGGAAAAGGGATTCCCGAGAAAACTGTGGATGTTGATGCGCGAGACCGTTCTCGTTCTCGCCCTCCGCAGTCTCTATATTTATGTTGAACGGTTTTAACGAACAGCAAGATAACAAGAGACTTCTCGGTATCGACTGCGTCTTCCGGAATCGTGATACTCTGTGTCCGACTGCACAGTTTCATCCGGGATAATCGTCGCCCCGGTACACACCGGCAAGGTAAGCATTTCCTACTCCCCTCCCTCCCTATCGATCATTATTGTTTAGACTCGCTCCTACTCTCGGATCCACCCTTCTATTATGAGGTTTGATCGACATAGACTTGTAAGTAAAATCTCATTCCGAGTAGTGAGGACGACATTCTGCGGAAAATTTTCACGATGTCTGGCAAAAATTACGACATACTGAGCATTAGCGCGGAAAAATATGGATGAGAGACCCCGTTTATATTTACATAATCCTTGACATTCAAGGATTATGTAATCACGTTACATTTCGATATATCTCTATATCTAAAAGATGATCCTTGATATTCAATCTCTAACTGAGTATTGTGCTATGTTGAATCTCGAGAACTCCTGTCTTTAAACATGAAAGAAAAGGATATTGAAAATAATTTCCATTCTATATTGTTGTTGCATTTTATTGTATTTTTAATTGTATTCAAGATAAAGTTTTATTCGTTTTTGATTGAAAATAAAATAATTGATCAAAATTTCAAAATAAATAAGAGAGAAAAAAATATATTATGTATAATTTATATTAAATATATTTTTAAAATGATTATTGATGTTGAACTCTCAATTGTGGAAATATAATATGATGAAATCTTGGGAATTCATATTTTTAAATATTAAAAAAGGAACTGAAAATAACTACTTCATATATCAACTTGCTACTGTATATATCAATTTGCTGCTGCAAGGCAGATCTCCAACAGTAACAACATCACTGTTATAATTTCATACTCAATAATATAACAATTACATAGAACATGTTATACATACATTTAGACTGTTGAAAATTGTAATATTGATGTTACTGTTACTTGGTTTTTCTTAGTTCGATGCTTGAGAATTGAGGATCTTATTTTTTTGAGATAAAGAGGAAGAATAAGTGTCGTCATAGTAATATCTTTCGTATAAATCTGAGGAAAGCTTTCATAAATCGCAGAATTGGTCTCAGCTTTCTCTTTCATCCTTAGTATGTGGCCGAGAACAAATTGCTTACAGATGTGTCTTGCTTTTTCCTTTTTTTTTTTTGCTTGAGAAAGAAGAGCTTTTCCTCCAAAAGGGGGAAGATCCGTTCGACTTTCGAGTGCAGAAAGTGTAGTTAAAAATAGAATGTGTTTATAGTTATATCACATCATAGAGATCATGTTTATAAAACAATAAAACGAATCATTAAACTGAATCGCATTGCAGAAAGATTCGGAAACATATGTTTATCAAAGTAGGACTAACGAGATAAATTAAGGATAGTGACTTAAACGATTAAATCACACATTTACGATCAGATAGTTGAATAAATATTATTATTATGACGTGTGAATATTCTTAGAATAAGGAAACACGTATTTTTCGCGTAAGTGTTTGCCTTTCTTGCTTGTTTTTTTTTTTGCTTGACGATCTCGAGCAGTCAGTACATTGTTTCGTCATTTCTTGCTTCTAATTTATATAAAAATTTCAGGAGTGAAAGTGGCTTTTGTCTACAATTTGCAAAAGGAATATAAAAAACGTCGTATCTAGAATGGACTGTACAAATTATGGATTCGATTCGTTCCTCGCGTACAACTCCTAGGCCGGTTCTTATCGAGTCTTATCGAGTCTTATTTCGAGATCGTCTTATGGCTGCTTTATGCTTCAATCGTAATCTTAAAAATTGGCAACAAAGAATCATTAGATATAAGATCGTTATGTTTCCCCAGTCTTAATCGTAATCTTAATCTTAGTCTCAAGAAAGTTCCTACCTTTTAACTTTAAGTCCTTAAGATTAGGACTAATTCTAAGATTAAGACTGAAGCATAAACCAGACATTAAATAATGTCTCAAAATGTCTACAGCTCTCTGAGCTTGGTTCATAAAATCTTAAAATTGTACTTAAGATAGTTTTAAGAATCAATTGCGAATACCGATCTAGTCTTTAACGTAATTCATCTTGGCGCGGCGGCGCGGGACGAATATTTTCAATGGTCACTACATGTCGATTGATGCAAAAGAAAACACTGAAAGTTTGCTTGTAATTTCCACCCTGCTCTCGCTGCGGAGAATTAATCGTCAAACAATAGCTCTCGATCTCGTTATCTTTCAAATGCATCACTCTTGTGAGAACGCAATTTAGTTAGAAAGCTGCCAGCTTATTTATCACTCTGACGTAGAGTCGTTTACCAAAGCGAACGCAAGTCAAATGGGAAGAAAGGGCTTTCTACAATAAGCCATTACCCAGATTTTAAATCTTAAACCATAAGAAATTTACCAATCACAATCAAATTTGAGAAGAGTAATCAGCCATGATTGGTCAGTTTTTATGTATATTTCTTACAGTTTAAGATTTAAAACTTTGGTAATGACTTATTGTAAAAAGCTCATAAAGCTTGTTCTACAACAGGGTTGCAAGCTGTAAACTCTAAGAAATTGATCAATCACAGTCAAATTTGAGAAGAATAATCAACTATGATTGGTCAATTTCTTACAGTTTAAGATTTAAAGTTTTGGTAATGGCTTATTGTAAAAAGCTCATAAAGCAACCTTGTTCTACAACAAGGTTACAAGCTGTGAGCCTTAAGAAATTGACCAATCACAGTCGATTATTTTTCTCATATTCAACTGTGATTACTCAATTTCTTATAGCTTATGAATACTGGCTTCTCTTGTGATTGTAGAATAGGATAATTGATGTAAAGTAACGTGGTCGGATGATCCTGACTATATATCTAACGTCTGCAACGTGATGAGATCAACGTGAGAGAACTACAAGCTCTCGCTTTACAGTAAGTGGTTGAAAAAAAAGTCATGTCCCGACATGTAGGATGAAATTGTATCTTACTTTCGCATCCGTACGAAGAAAACTCCGCGGTCGCGCGGAATGATCTGAGGTGAGTCTCGGAGGAAAGCGCATGCGGGTGAGACGTTTTAAGACTGTTACGGTGATGCGTTCGCGAGCTTCCGCTCGCCTATTAATTCGCTAATTAGCGCAAGTCCATACGCGGTGTCGAAGATCTCTTACGATAATTAGTTCGGTCAGTTAACGAGTGGCCTCAAAAACTTTCACGTACTTTTGCCGCCGATACGCTCCCCACGACACGTATATGGTAATTTAATGTAATTTGATATGTTTTTACATGTTTTTTTTTATTACAGTAATTATGTATAAACTGGAACTCGCGAAGAACTCTGAGATTTTCTCTTTCTTTTTTAATCCTGTACATTACGCGAAAAACAACTTTCATCGCTTAGTATGTATGAATATTTTTTTATTTTAAGTTCATCATTGCAAAAGTATTAAAGTAAGACAATTTTAGAAAGATTACATTTATTAAAATCTACTTTAATTACTACTACTAGGAAAAGAACAAGTCTACCTTGCTTAGATGTTTGACATACTAATGTTCGAAGAAGCGAGTCGCGTGCAGCATGTAGCGAATGTACTGGATAAGATTCGTTCGCATAAGCGAGCTTCGTGGAATGATTTTAGCGAACACAGACGATAAATATATCCACATGGCATGGACCCCGAGAAAGAGAAAGAGAAGGAACAGGGACTGAACTGGACTGAACTCGAGACTCCAAATCGAGTCTCTTGAGAAAGAAAGAAGGAATGGAATGTTTCTCTCACTTCTCTTTGCTTTCACAAGCCATGTTTCGATGATTTCTTTGACATGCTACGCGAACAACAGTAACATTGCACACGTCAATTACCGACAATCACCTTACATTAGTGTTTCCTGCATTCTACGACCGTTCCTTAATTCCTCCATTTTTATTACATCGCCAACAAAAAGTGTAGCTTTTTGTGCATATTTAAGATATGTTATGATTAAGATATGTGTAAATTAAAATAGTAATTTATATATAAAAGAATGAATTTATATTTAAAAGAAAGTCTAAGAAATTTTATTTTATTTGAAAAAGTCTGTGAAAGTTTAAAAATATGAGTGAGCATTTTTATAGAGGTAAATATTAAAATGGCATTATAAATCTCAGAAAAGAAGTTCTCGTAAATCGCGGGACTAATCTCTTGTACCGTGATATTCATGAATACTAAGGATTACTGTCGTTCATAAATAGAATTATCTTTCTCGTAGCAGCCGCCCCATGTGTGACCGCCGTCCATTTACTGAAATATCTTGGTAACCGCTGTATCCAGTGCACCCAGTCGCTTGCAATTTACATTAAGGGGGTACCAAACAAAATACTAATTTCTTAATTCCCAGATTTAGATTTCACATAAGGGAAGCACTAATAAACTGCGTTCAGAATTTATTATTTCGACAGAAAGTTGATTGGGCAACTTTTGGAACTTTGTTTTTTCAAAAATAGGAAATTTAAATTAATTGATCTTTGTCATATTTTTAGATGCGATTGAAGAGGATTGTTTACCAATCTTTTATTTACCAATCGATTGAATGTATCGTAATTTTATACATTCATATCTTCGGACAGAGAAATTTTCTAGTTACAGGCTACGTATGATCGCCAGGAATAGTTTACAACCGATATCCTATCTATCGATCACACACTGTGCTCTTAAGAAACGGCGTTGTTAGCTTTATTCGTGTCTAAATATAAATCGACTTTGTATTTAGTCTCTCATCGCTATTTCCTACATTTATTTCGTATATAAAATGAAACTTGCTAATGTTTGGGTGAGTAGATTTATTATGTTTCTTATTTATTGTTTGAATCTCTGAAATCGTTTCAGTCTGATACACTAGAAGGCAGATGGATTTAACTTAGCACATAAACAATATGATATGATAATTTTTGTTTAATTAATATTATATACTAATAATAATTATTACTAATTATAATTATTGTTATAATTATTGATATAGAAATTATCGAAATATTGATTGAAAGTTATATTGGATTTCGAAATCAGAGTAATAATAATTAAAAGTTTAATAGATTTATTAATAAAATATATTTAAAATTTTAAATAAAGATTTATAAATAAATAATTTTTTATGTAAAAATTATAATATAATTGATAGAAAAAGTGAAATGAAAATAGATTTTTACGCAATAATTGATATGCGTGAATAACATATTAGCCAACATGAAACAGTCATTTAAAAACTTTATTTCTCATATTTATGTTGAACGTAGTTTTCGTACTAATAATAATTTGATGTTTGTAATTCTAAAAAGAAACAGCATGAGAAGTAATTCTTTTCAATATGTTATTTCACAATCAATATTTATTTCACAAAACGATGAATATATTTCTACATGATAATGACATGGAAACTTTGCAGTTTTATGCAAGAGATATTTTTCTAAAATAATAAATAAAAAAATATCACATAGACAAGAAACATAATATCAGTAAAATCGAAATAATAATTAATAGTAGACTATCTAAGTAACTATTAATAGTTCGTACTTCCAAGCTATCAATTTCGAAATGCACCTCTCTTCACCTTCTCGACTTTATTGCAATAAGAAAGTTTCCTTAAAATGTTCAATAAAATTAAAATATTCTTGGTTAAGAAATAAGAGTTGTCTGTGGAATTACGTGTTACCAGCTGATCGCTTATTTTTCTAAGAAGAGATATTTCTACATCACCTAAGAAACTTCGGTTACATCATTTGAGCTCGATATTCGTGCCCGAAGTTCTCGACACACTTTTCGTCACGGGACGATCACGGCAATTAATGATCAACGAAGAATCGCCGAAGCGTTTCGTTACGCATTGACCGTCGCTTTGGATTTTCGTGATGATCTTCGTAACGGTTGGATACCGCAAGGATTTCCGTATTCCCTCGTTGCGCTTCCCATACTTCGCTTGGCTTCTCTCCTTCATATCATTCAAGACATTGTCCATGTTCGATACTCCAAGATCGTCTTCGCATTCCTTGTTAATAATTTCCTTACATGGACACGTACAGTTTTGTACATAGGTCTCCCTTCTCTTTTTCTTTGTAGACTTCTCTGGGTCTGTTTCAGGACTCGAGTAGAGGATCACCTTTCCGCCATCGCCCACGAATTTCACTTTTTCTTTAGAAGAGTCTGGTCCAAGAAGGACTCGTCCGCCATCGCCAATATATTCAATATCGCCCACATTATGATTTACATGTAGCTTACAACCGTCACCAATGACGTGAACGCTACCGGAATTCTTCGATAGAATGATGCAGCAGCCATCGCCTACGATCTCCAATACACTGTGATTTGAATGCATCCTGACGACGAGTCCGTCGCCGTGGAATCGCTTGATATCATCATCCTCGTCAAAATGCTTACAATGTCTTATGGAATCGCTCTTAATGTTCCGTTCCTTTCTCTTCATATCCGGTTGTTCGTCGATGCGAGAGATCGTCATTGGTACTTGAGAATTGTCACTTCGTGATAAAAAATATTCCACTCGACAGATATTTGTTCCGCGACAAATACAACAATTATCCAATTGTTGCACAATTGTCAGATTTATTATATAAGTAATATATTAATTATTAATCAGATACTATTTATTGAAGGGTTTCTTCTTGCTTCTGTCGTTCGTCACTAAAAGGAAATATATCCTCTTTAGAAGCGAGTGCACGAAAAGAAAAAGTGCGTTCGTGCAGACACATACGAGAGAGTTATTTACGTTACGGCGATTGGCGTGACACGACTCTGATCCCTATGTCGTAGCCGCATAATAACGAATGCGTATGGTCGTTTCGCGCAGTGGTGGGCACGCGTGACGACGGGTTCTTCACCGAGCACAATCGGCCCGGTTATCATAATTCTTCGGGGGACTTCCCGCGAGACCTTCCGCAGCAGTGAACACTCTGCGTTCATTGATACCAGAGTCGTATCTAAGAATTACAGTGCCTGTGATGAATACTATCAGTAGATCTATCATTTATCTCACAAATAATTAGATTGTGTTGAGATACATTGAATATATTTTTTCTATATAGATAAAATATAGATAATTATACGTTTTAATTTTTTTATATATTATTTTATGTATCTTTTAATTTGATTCTCTTCCTACATGTGTAAAAAGAGCTAGAATTTTTCATAAAATATTTTTAATTTTATCCTGCTTCTTGTTATATTCATTAACAGTCAGAAAATTGATATTGGTAACATTTTTAAACTAATTTGTAACTATTGCATTAACCATAATTGACGACAAATAAGCTGACATTAAAGACAATATTTTGACATTAAAATAATGATAAATAACGTCTTTATTTTTTGAGAACTTTGAACATTTAGCTACATTAGAAATTTCAAGTTAGAATTCCATTAAAATAAGATGTAACTTAAACATCTAAGTTCTCTTTTGCCAATTTTTCTTATTTATTCTCACATATCAATTTATGTTTTTTTTTAATGTATACACTGTTTCTCTTACAAGAATGTCAAAGTACAATTCAAATATAGCAATATGTAACGAATAAAAAAAAAATCTTTGAAATTATAAAGAATTTGCCACAGTCTAGTTACGACTTTGTTTCATCTTTTTGCGCGCGCGCGCGCGCTCTCTCTCTCTCTCTCTCTCTCTCTCTCTCTCTCTCTCTCTCTCTCTTTCTAATTCGGTACGCCAATCTCTCGTTATTCATCATGGCCGAACGAAGGACAAAACGGTTTGCTGATTCAAAGAATTTGAAAACAGACTTTATAACAACATTTCTTAATATGTATAATTGTAATGTCAGCTTAAGTTTTTAAAGTATTTAGAATTAATTGTACAATCTTTTATAATTCTTTTTATTGATATATGAAATTATTGATAAATAAATTTTATTTTATATATAAATTTTATGCATACTGATATTTAGTATTACATAAATTTTCTTTAAAATTGCTTTTTAATTACAGGCCAAATGTCTCTGTATTAGCTTTTAATAATAAAAACTATTAGAATTATATATCTTTAAAAATATAAGAATTGAAACATTTTATTATCTTTACCTTATCTAAGAAGCTATATAAAGAAAGCATCTAGGATGTTAAAAATAAATATTTCTTCTGAAATATTATAATCCCTCCAAAGAAAGAGAGAGTGATGCAAATATTTTCTGAATGTGTGTGTTGCAGATTTCACCATGCAATCAAGGAGAAATGCCAAAATGTGCATGCTTAAGTTTAAAACAGAAAGTGTACTTGGAGCGAATGTGGAGAATACTTTTCCCCAGCAAGAGTTTTAACAATGATGGACTAAAAATTAATACGTATCTTATTGGACTAAATTTCAAAGTGTGACAAAGAGCCTTTCAAACAAAAGCCTTTAGTATATCTCTTGAATTCTTAAATTTTTATTGCGATATGTTAGAATATATTTCCTCCATCTTCATTCTTTAGACCTTGATTTAAATCTTTTTCTTTTCTTAAGTAAGTAAGTTAATTTCTGTTATTAATATCTCTTTTGTTTCAAGAATTTTATCAATTCTAATTGCTAATAATCAATATTACATCAATATAACATCGATATCATCATACAAATCGATATCTTGTAAATCCAACTCAACTATATTCCTGACACGTGGCTGCTCTCTGTCATTTGATCATATGATTTCTCATAAATCGCGATTCATGCGTAAAAAATACTACGTCATCCGGTAATTGGGAAGGAGTAATTTAATGACTCAATATATAATAATATGGCAGAATATCTGTGCGAACATCTATGAGATATCAGCTGTGCTCGTAGATATGCGCCCAGGGGAATCCCTTGTTACTCCTCATGTTATAACGATTTCATATCTACACAGTACTGGCCTTTATTGATTTAAATGTGATTAAAAAAGAGAGATAAACTGATAAGAGAGAACCTGGAGAGAGAGAGAGAGAGAGAGAATTGGCTTAGCTTAAAAAATGTCAACTAATCTTTCGCAAAAGCAATAAATAGAATTTTTCATCATAAATTTAATGTTATTATATCATTTTACATTATAACATGCATTTATTTGTTATAAATTATTTGCAAATTGTAAATTTTATGATTTATAAATATAAACGAATATAATTTTTTATGTAAGTGTAGAGAATCTCTCTCTTTCTCTCTTCAAAATTAAATAATTAAAAATATAATATTCTATATAGATTGATAAGAATAAAATTTTTACTTAGTATTTGTTATTGTCTACAAAATAGTTCACCACCAAGTTGTTCCTTGATTTGGCATGAATCGGAAAAACATGCCCAGACATGACTACGAAATAATTTCCTTTGCAAGAGACGTATGTACCATTCGACTAATTCAATATGACCGTGATTGGAATACCATAACTCAATTCGGAAACGAAACAGCTTTATCGACTTGGCGCCTGTATGCAAGCCTATATACAAGCTAATTGCTCCTGTCTATAGTTCATCATCATGTCCATATTGGATGATTTTTTGTGGACTTGAAAAGTTTTTATAACATAATTCCTGATTTAACAATCAACTATCTAATTTCAGAAAATTAAGCTAATATTGGGGAAAGTTCGTGCTGCAGAAGATTTAAATTTAATAAATGAAATTAAAAATTTAAATCTGCGTTTCAATTTTCCTTCAAAATCGGCACGAACTTTTCGGACAATCCAATAAGTTTACTATATCGTCTCACTGCATAATCTACAATACAAAAAGTCTTATTTCATATTAGCTTTTACAAGCTCGTGGTCAAAATGTTAGTAAAAGAAAATAGATCTTTCTAATTAGATTTTGATAAGTCTCGGAAATATATTTACTTAACTGTTATTTCAAGTTCCAAACGTATTATATATAAAAAATGTTTAATTATTTTTTATTTATTTGTTTTTTTTTTGCGATATTTTTCAGTGGCAAAATGATAAAAACGAAATGAGTGACCTTAACACCATTGTAATGGAGACTTCGTATCCCGAGTCCGAGAATTATTTGAAGGTAACATCGCCGATGCTGAATGTAGCGCGACAGGACTCGGGTGTACCCGAGGATCTTGCTTCGCCTCTCAACGGGGAGGAAGATCCGAATCTCACTATGAACAGCGAATGCAACATCACCGTCATCCACATCAGCGAGTCGCAGAACGGCAAGACAAATGACAAATCACTGGCCGAAAATAAGGACAGCAAAGATGGTAGTGACAGCGGTGTTGAAGGTTGCGCGACGGAAGTTCCAAGAGTGAGTTTTAATGTAAAGTCTTATTCATGGAAAAAATATTTTTCTTAAAATAAAAACTAATTTCAACATATAAAATTGTCCAGTATAAATGATAACAGATCTAAGTAGTTATCATTTGGTTCATTTTTTGTTTTGCAGGTACGTAGTAGAAATAGCATCGACTACACGAGCAGTTGCGGTGGCTTAGATGATGCTTCTTGCGCATCCAGTCTCGTCAGTTGTTGCTCAGTGTACGAAGATGCATGCGGATCCACGTTGCCAGACGATGTGCGGCTAGGTGCTACTGGTGGCGAGGGCACGAGCGAGGGCGGTAGTGAAAGCTCGTCTATCGCTGGTAGTGTGTCCGTGCGAACGAGCCGTATGAATGTGAAGAGGACCACAACGGCGTCCAATGCGACCAAGAAGAAGATTACGAGCGGTACTGAGTCGCAGAAGAGCGCTCGCACAAAACCAACAAATACAACCTCGAGCACGAGTTTGGGCTTGACGACGCCGCGGTCTAAATCGCGAACAGCAACTCCTAGAAATATACTGACCAAGACTCAAAGCACGAGCAGGGAACGGGACCATCGACCACGATCAAGAGAGAAATTGAGCGCCCGGGAATCGAACTCTTCGCTCGTTGGAGATGTCTCCAAGACGCCTGTTGGAAGTCGTAGTACGGTGATGTATGGTTGTCGGTCCAGCAGCAACGTAATGTCCAGTTCGGTATCTACTCCTACTTCGTCCTCAATCGCAAAGACGAGAACGAGGGTGTTGCCCGATTCGCTGCCATCCGCACTGACCACGGAGATCAATAAGGATCTTGCACAGCGTAGCGGAAGAGTCATCAGGAACGATTCGTCGAGATCGAGGACCGCATCCAGTACGCGAGGAGCGCGTACGCCGGCATCCACGCCGTCCGAAGAAACGAGAGTGAAGATACCGTCTTTATCAACTTCTCGTGCTCTCTGTGTGAAGAGTACCGTCTCACGTACTGATAATAAAGCTACTGGTCAAGATAACAAGGCACTCGATATGTACGCAACGTTACCGCGTAGAAACAAAAATAAATTGACAATTTCGAAAATTGGAGAGAAGACGGACAAGACAGCAAGAAGTAGATCCGGAAGTCGAGACGTTAGCCTCAGCAGAACCATTGAGAAGAAAAACATCATGGGGAGAGATTCGTCTTCCACTCATAAAAGCTTACCGCCCTATCCCAGACAAAGAACCGTCGAGAAGACTCGTATATATCACGAAACTAGTGCGCAGACTGGCTTGACCGGGCAAGACATTGAGAACATGATATCCGGACAACCGAGCGTCGTCGCCGGACCCGAGGTCATCGAGAGATTGCACAAGAGTTGCCAAACGGAAGACGCATGGAATGACGTGCAGACTTTGCAGGATAATTTGAAACGCTTGAATGAGGAAAGCAGCAGTCTGCAAAAAGAGAACGAGAAATTGAAGCTCGAGTTAGCCGAAGCGAATCGTCTTCTAGAAGAGGAACGGGCTGATCATGCGTTTGCGCGTCAGGAACTTGATAGGAACGCACAACGAGTACTAGCTATGCTAGGTACGCCGCAATCGGAACATGCAGGTAATTCAATGAACAAAGTAATAATGCAAAAATAAATGATAAATTTATTTATAAAGCGAGATTATTTTATGCTACTTGCATATCTATATAATTTATAGAAATAAAATTTGTAGAAAATAAATTGATGAAATTTTTTTTAGAAGGTAGCGACAGCTTCCTTGAACTTGAATGTCATATACAATCCTCGGGACAAGTTGTTGCTAATCAGCAAGTCGAGATAGCTGATCTGCAATCGCTCTGTCGTATGTTAAACAGGGTAAGAATATTGTAACAATAATTGTAATTATAATATGACAATTATATTTCATATAAAAGATATCTTTTTATAACATTTTTATTGAAGGACTTGGACAAAAGTCTAGCCGCGCAGAAAGCTTTACTACAACAGCAACAAGAATTGGAAGCCGAATCAGCCGAGATGCAAGATTTCCTCCAAGAGGAGAAGGCCACTTTGGCGGATGCACTTAAGGACGCCGAATTGGAGGTTTTTTAAATTTTAAATTTTGCCTCCTATATTCATTTCTTGAAGTATGTACAATTTTTTTATCTCGTTTGTCTTTTATAGCTTAAGAAGAAAGGGGAAGCTTTAACTCAAAAAGAAACGGAATTAGAAAGACAAACAGAAGAGTGTAAGCATTTAGTGCGAATTAGCGAACAAAGAAGGTATGTGTTTCATGAAAATTGTTGACAATATTTATACTAGACATTATAAAGTATATTTTAACGATTGATTTTTTTATCTATTAGGCAAGAAAATTTATCAATGAGTCTAAAGTTGAATGCCGTCGAACGAAGAAGTAGAGAACTTTTACTCACTCAAGGCGCTGCAATGTCCGGAGCGGCTGTAGCTCTTTCCGGACTTAGCACCAGATTGGAAGGACTAGTAGATCAATTGATTGCTTCTTATAATATTTCAGTAAAAGATCTTGAGGTAAATACAATGATGAAAATTATTAATTATTAATTACAAAATAATTTACATTGTTACTAAATAGACTTTATATGAATGAACAATAATAACATACTCTATTTCCTGTAAATAAATATATAAATGATTACATTATAGATGGAAGATTAATGTTCTATTAATAATTTCTTTTTGCTCATTTTTCTTCTACATTTAATAATTAAAAAATATTTTCTTCAGTCATTATTAAACGTATTGTAATTTTTTTTCCTAAAAAGGATGTCATATATCATAACGAAGCATACAGCAGAAGTAACAGTAGCGTGGAGTCTAGTCCGGTTAGCTCTAAACAGAGTTTGAAAGAACGCACGCCGAGTCCAAAGAGTGGATCCTTTGTTTCCGCAGTAATCAGCGCTATTCGGAACGCCGCGACGCATCCTTTCGCGACGAGAAATAATCTCGATAAAAAATCCAGTCTAGATTCATCTAAACAGATTTACAAAGGTAATGGAATACAAAATGTTAAACTAAGAAGACTACATTCAAAACCATTAAAAGAACAATTTTTATTTTCTAGAACTAAGTATGGAATCATCGTCTGACTTGCTTGATTTTGAAACTGAGCCATGTTTGATGATGGAAAGCGTTCTGGAAGATGTACCTTTGCCAGACACATATTCGCATAACATGGTATCGAGCAGCGATTCTCTCCGCAGAGCACTGAGTTTTTCCGAAACATCGGACGAGCATAATGTGAGAAAGACAAAATACATCGATGAGTGTACTAGTCTCACGAATCTCACCCAGGCAATCTTGCATCGTCGTAAAGCAAGTATCTAAATTAGATTCGGAAAGTAAAAATTATAAAATGAAGTAATAATAATTAATCATATTAAAATTTACAGGTGGAAGACGAAGGTGATGATGATTGTGATTCCGTGAGCGAATCTGACACTGGGACCAATGATGGTCCTATGCCTTTAGTGGATTACTGTCCATCTGTAGATCTTGTCGATCAAGTGATCGAAGTGGACAATCTCGTTACCAAACTTCTGAAAGTGTTACGAATCATACAGCTTGACAACGATACATGTATACAGGAATTGAAAGAAGAGAGGTAAGTTTAATAAATTTAACTGAATTGTAATTTAATGTTGTTAATTAGAATATTAATTATTAATTGGAACGCATTATTTACAGATCTAACTTGGAGATAAAATTAGAAGCCACTGTAACAGAATTGAATGAGCTTCGCAAGATTATCGATAATCTTCATCAATCGCCGGAAGATGTCCTGAACAACGTATCCGATCGACGACGTAGCGTTGTGGAGAATTGTCGGATTTTGCTCAAAGAGGTAATAGCCGGCGATGTTGCCGATACATTTTTATAGTGTACTTCTTCCACGCTACTGCCATATCTGAGATAAATTATTAACTTTCGTGAAAGGATGTCAAATGGTTCAATTCCTCTAGACGAGTAAGAAAGAATTAAAATTTAACAAGGCTGTACTTGCTACTAATAGCAGTTCTGGCGAAATAGACTGAGGATCTCTCGATGTGACGATTTCCGCTTAATATTTTAAAATATTTATAAATTTCTTATTCTTCCTAACTATTATAAATGATTTTAATTCTTAAGAATCCATGTAAATTTTAAGAGTCTGAATTATTATATTAAACATCGATGAACATTTTATTGTTATTCATAAAAATCGGATTTCAAATTTTGAGGTGACTGAATTTTCAAGAGTTTAGATATATAGTTTGGAATATTATAGTTATATAGTTTGGAATATTACATATATTTTTCCTTCCATCATAATATATTTTTGTGCGCTTTATAATGTTAATTTCACACTGAATATAATGGTGTATATGTGTACATGTGTATATTAATAGGATGTACATCCGGATTACAAAAATCAAATATGAACAAATACGGGCTCGTCACTGTTTTTAAAATAATTGTACAAAAAAAGATTATTTAAAAAATAAATGACTCTGGTTAAAATTCAATTAATCATAGCTAACTATGCAGCATGTAGAAGAATATATTAAAGTATTTAATTTTGCTGATTTTGCATTGTATTTCTTTCATCAGAATTTGGCAAAATATATTCACGAATAATGATTAATGATTTTGAACATATATTTGAAAATGTATTAATGTATGCAAAAAATATATGTTTTATATGTCTAAATGTATATTTAACATATATTTGAATACGCTAGTACACTTTCTGTGAAAATATGAAATTGTAAATCGTTATTCGTTATTAGCCAGTATATGTATTTAATATTCCCACCGTCGAGTTGATCATAGAATTTTATATTTAATAAAATAATCTTCCAACGTGTGAAATTATTAGGTTTATAAAAAATCAATTTTTTTAATTACATATTTTTTCATTCGAAGTAAACAGGGTAGCCTATATTTAAGATAATAATATTTAATAGAGAACACAACAAGAATTAGATACATATAAAACGGAAGGATAGATTTCAAATACCTTTTATTGTGTCTTCGATCATACAATACTTGTATTACCGTAATTACATTGTGTGACTTTTAAAAAGATAGTGAAATATTTTATGACAAATCGTAGATATAAAGATGCTTAAGATGCTTCTTAATAGACAAGAATTAGAAAAAGATATTTGTACTATTATTTTTGTGTATGTGTATGTGTGTGTGTAATTTATTTCTTTCATCTAAAGATGTATATACGTCAATTATAATAAATCTCAAAGATTTTTTGCTCACTGAAACCAAAGTTGAGATTTATTATAAACGTTTTCCAAACGAGGTTTCTTTTATTAAAATGGAGCTGTGCTTCAACTTAAGCGTAGCTTTAATCATGGAAATATTGTGACGATACAACCAAACAACACATATGTATTTTATTGTTTAATCAAATAAATTTTCATATCTTGAAAAATATACAGATGCATTATAATCAATTGTATTATATATACTTATAACTTTATAATTAAAGTAGATTATATTACGTAAATGCATGTAAAAAATTCGCAATTGTCAATACAAAAAATCGTCACTAATAATTACGATTAGTTTATAAGTAAATGAATAGTGATTTATATATTGTGACGCTAAATCAAAACGGAATTATGGCAAAGCGAATATTGTATTTAGCTTGTTTAACATGTAAATACATATGTGGTTACTGAATCACAATCGCCCGTTACATTGTACGGATAAGGTGAATGAAATCGCCATTTCTAATTTTATGTATATTCATTTAAAAGCCATCTTTTAAGTTACAGAGAAATGAGTTCGAGGATTAATGCTAATATTAGCACGTCCTTTTATTAATACTAAACACCATGTAAATGCGTGGTACGACATCAATTCGATCGTCAATCATACACGTTATATTCTATGAGTACTCGTCCATCATCCCTGTAGATGCAGATATCCTATCCCTGTGGAGAGAATAATATATTCTTTTCAAACATCTTATTTTAAATGGTTGTAGTTTGAAATACAGAATACAGAATACAGCGCACATTGTATTAAAAGAAAAGGAAAATACCGTTTTCTTAATATATGCTGTAGACGGAATATTGTGTATGTAGAATTGCAAGCATCGAGGAATCGTTTTAGTGCACGCTCGTGCCTCGCACATGACGTATGCGCCGTATCAAGGGTGACAAGAAATTCATCAATAGTACAGCTGGTCTGGAACATAAGAAAAGTATATCGAGAAAGTATACATTAAATTATTTTTATAATTAAAAGAATGAAAATTACACGTGAACTGCAATAAAATCACAATTATAAGATTGATATAATTAATACCATTATAAGATATAATTAATAAAATTGATTATTAGGCAGCAATATGAAATAGATTTTTACTTGTTTAGTGTCTTCGAGATCGCCAAATCGGTTTTGTTGGGAACGCTATCGATGATGGGTTTGTCTAGTTCGTTGATGGACTGGATCGTCGGCGGAGTGGATACCTTTTGATTGGAAATTGATAAATTATGTTCCGAGTTGCCGGTGGCGCCGGCCAGGAGCAGTGCCTCGACTGGCGCAAATACGAATACAAGACCGTCCAAGTGGATGCGATAGTTCTCAGTTCCATTCTGCCGTTGATCGTAATAATCGATGGCATCGGAGAGCGTAGACGTCGGTGCGGCGAAGGTTACAGCTGTCTCCTGCGGTATCACCGATATGATTTCATCTTTGATTTCGATCTTGGAATCAATTTCGGACTCAGTCGACTTGTCGATGACGGGTAAACACTGAACGCTTGCGAAGAACGCGATGAGTAGTACAGTCTTGAATACACGCATGTTGATTGATAACATTGAACGGCTGTTTGTCGAGTTGCCTTTCGTTCGAATGCAACTCGTGAACTTATCGGATTCACCTATCTACTTGACCTCGGTCTATTCTAAAATCTGTCAAGAGAGTTGCTCTCTACTTGATTCCAGTTCCTAAGTTATTGTTTTCTACGATTCTGGTTGAAGCCGGTGACTGCAGGATGCTTCCTGTTCGGTTGCGATTGTAAATTTACAAGTTATTTTCTTACTCAACGGGCGTGAACTCAGGCCGACTACTTTTTTTGACGATTCTTAATGAGATGATGCGGGAACGCGATTGGCCCGGGACCAGTATCGGTATCGCGAGATGAGACGAAAATGGACGAAACGTTGGAGAACGTGGAACGTGTCTGGACAACACGGAGGATACTCGAGGTATGATGACCGGGCGATGTCTCGTACTAGAAGACGATCCCGATCCCCACCTGGGCGATCCGAACCTGAGCCTTCCTTCGGTCGGTTCTAGAAACGGATCCCCGGAAAAGTTCAAGAACCTCGGCTTTTTTTTATATATATATATATATCGTCATGGCACTGTTGATACGCTGTAAAACTTTTGTAATTTATGCGAAGATTGAAAGAGAGATCACTTATGTTTAAATCTGAACTATATACTTTCCCTATCTGCAATTTTCCGGGCCAACTTTCAAAAATAACATTAGCAAGAAGATATATTTTTACTTAATTACTTAATGTTTCCTTGTTTCTTCAGAATCTCTCACTTCTGATTTTTATTATACAAAATTTTTAATTAAGATTGATGAAAGATTTACTTATAAGATAAATAACAAATTCTTGTCATTTTTTTTTCAATCATTCATAATTCAAGAATTTTTTTATCTTGCGGCTAATTGTATTCTTCTCCAATTAAAAGGAGATGCGCGATATTGGAAATGATTCTCGTGATTTTTGAACATCTCCTTATCCTTATTACATTCGGATTGCGAAATCGCCATCCGGAGAGAGGAACGTGACGGTATTAATAGCATTAACGATATTCAACGACGAAGGCGTGGTGGAATTACTGAAACTGGTCATCCTCATCAGCGACGTATCAATCGCGCATCGATGTCCCTCGCGATGATAACCAGTTTTATCAAAAGAAAAGGAAGAGCAAGAGACGGGGAGATACGCAATGATGTTAAAGACAGAGCATAATAGTTATCACACGCGGTGCAGGTGTATACATATACGTGTACGTAGATGTGCGCACATCTATAGTCACCAATCTCTGTAAAGGGCAATGTCCTATCGTGGCCGTTCGTGGTGAGTTCGTTTCCCCGATCTGCCCGTCTCGCGGCTTATTACCGTAACCTTGCCCTTGCTCTTTCCTCTCGCGTACACTTCCGCCTTGAGAACCGAATCAACGCTGTCGCCGGTCTTTGAGACGACCTTCGATTTCTGGAAATTCCCCGGAGGGTCGACGTACCGCGCGCTTTATGTGACTCCCCGATTGGAGAATGCAAGATCAGAATTTTGGCTTTTAAGAATTCCCGACAGTAAGAATCTTATTCCCGATAGGCGCTATTTATATACTGCAGCGACAAAGAAAGAATAAGAAAAGTAGAAAATATTAAACAAACGAAAAAATGGTATCAACGATCTTTATGTACTTCTGATCTCTAAGAACTTATTGATTTAAAAAAGAAAATGAAAATTAAAATAGAATTAAAGAAAATTAGATTTGTTATTGCAATTTTTTATTATGATTTTTCCTTTATATTTAAATATTCACATTGTTTTTGTCATTTAAATATTTTATTGATCAAATAGTTTAATATAGATACATGCAGTAAATCTTCGCACATATATATCTTAAAACGATAATTATCTCGCATTCAGCGCATTTTACGTGCTAAATTAATTAAATAATTCATTGCTCTTCTCATGTTATGTGGGATGATTCTTGCACTAATAAGCAAAAAAAAAATGCTTTCTATCAGCAGATGTAATAAATCTGATATAAAATTCATACTAAAAAATAAAATATCGTATGAGAAATAATCGCATGATAACTAATATATTTTGATGTTTAAGATCTACAGCCATGGGAACTTAAAGCTAAAGAGAATCGGCTGATTCGTCGAATTGGCAGACGCCGGACGCATCGCGATGTCTTCCTGGACCACAGTTCTCGACACCATCGCCTAGTAATCTGAGTTCCTGCTGCTGCTCCTCGGTTAGCGGAGATACATCGTTTTTCTCAACATTCGAAGAAAATAGTGTGACATCCTTTTCCCCAGGTAGCTGCTTCTTTAACGATGGTCTTCCAGGTTCATCGTCAGGATTCCAAATCACGTTCCCAACCACGCTCCGAACCCGGCCACTGCCTCCCGTCTTAGGTCTGGACGTCTTCCTCACATTCACGAAGTATCCCGGAAGAGTCGGCACCTCGCGGCTTTTCGGAAAGTCGAAATTCTTCACATTTCTCGCGATTCTATCAATTTTTTTAGTTTGCTCATCACCGATTGGTGCCAGTTGTTGATCCAAGACGTTCAACATTTTCGTATCTCCTTCCACTTTTTGTACTGAATTTTCTTTATCTAGATAATTCTCATTTATCTGAATTTCCGCAGAATAGGGCTCCTCTTGGCGAACTTCCTCACTGGATTTGATCGCTCCTTGTCCTTTTGATCGAGCATTTACCGCTGCTTGGATAGCATGCCATGCTAGGTCGCTTATGTCGTTAGTGCTGGTACTGCCGCTATTACCAGGGAAGAGCACAACGAAGAGGAGGTTTTTTAACGTACCGTGCCCGTTGATCTCGCCATCCTGCCGTTGATCATATTTCGCCGGAGCAGCGCCAACCTTGGCGAACGCGAAGAACGCCGAACCGAGGAAAAATAGCATCTGGACCATCGCCATCCTCGTGATGTATACACGTCGGTCACACACGTCGTGATGCGTGTAGGTGAGCTCTAGATGAGCGAGATGAGAAAAGCAACGAAGTTCGACCTTGCAATACAATGCTCTTCGCAACGCGAGCGAAACGAGCGAGGTCCTTTCCTCAACTGCGACGACCGCGCGAGTAGCGGGCCCGCCGCACTCGATGAGACCGTTGTATGAACCGGTACGCGGAATCTGTATGATAGGGGGATCCATCTCACCATAGGATTACTTATAAGACACATCGCCACGTCGATTGGCGTGGAAACGATACCGATATTGTTCACCGATATCGTTATGGACCATCGCGGATTTCAACGACACAGCTAATTTTGAGTTAAAAACAAAAACAGAAACCTCGAGCAGAAATAATAAGAATCAAGAGTCAAAATGAGAAACGGAGGAAAAAATATAAGTATTGTATGAGATAAGAGAGATCTTTTTAGCGAACTTCTTTTCTTTCTACGTTAGAGAAAAAAAAGAGAAGATGAATCGTGTAAGAAATTCAGCTAAAAAAAATACGTCTAAGAATATGCGTGCGCTTGCGTTTCTTCCTGTGAATATACTTTTAATCGTGTATTACCTCTTTTAGGAAAACTCTTTAGTCCGGAACTGTGAAACAAAATAAGAAAGAGCGTCAAGTACTCGGAGATAATTATCGCATTACAAAAGTGCAAAATGTGGGATTGTTTCATCATGTGAAGGCAAATATGGCGTAAATTCGATGCATATATGGCACACCTTCAAAGAACACTTGTTTCTAAATTTACTCCTCTAGCTTTTGCCTTTGAATCTGGTCAAGGGAGGACCGATCGATCAGAATAGGGCATCCGGTTGTACTTACGCGGTTGTACTCACGGCAACAAGCGATTCAACCACGATCGACAGCGACCATTGCCGTTTGGAACATATCCAAATTTGCAGCGCTTTTGCGACCGCACGACATGTGCGGATTTTATCGTGGTCGAAGGAGTTGTTCCAGTTTCAGCTTCCTTTTCACTCGGTTGATTCTTATTGTCATCGTTATCCGCATTTGGCGTCGAGCTCGTAGTACCAATCAACGGATCAGCATTTGGGATCTCTTCGTCTTTGGACAGTGTCTTGTCGTTCTTAGTATCATTCGATGGAGTAGCACCTTCGGATAGCATTATGTCGCTGGTCGGGCTTGTATTATTGATAGGCGTCGAGACAGTTGAATTTTGTGACGGCAGTGGCTCGAAAACTTGTGTGGCATCATTTTTCTCCGTCGTGGAACTCACGATAGGCCTGTTTCCCGGCGGCTTGATGGTAAAGTCAGCATAATCATATAAGTAATCGTAATCCTGCGAAAGCAAGGATAATGTCGACGATGATTTTTCAGTGGTACTCAAAGCAATCTATTTATTATTAAATAAAATATGTAAAATGCATTCTGAGTAAAATGTCTAAAATGGACTTTATAAATTACAGGCTCGCTTTAATCTTGCATCAAATCATCATATATATGTATATAGAACTAACGCAGTACAAACTGAAGAAAAGCTTCGACTATTTCATTAACGGTAAGTGCAACAAAATCAAAAAAATATATCACAGTAAAATTTAATTTTTATTCTTTCTCGAATAAAGAAAGAAAATATAAAATAAATTTGAGAAAAGAAGAAACAGGAAAAAACTGATGAGAAAAATAAAAAAATATGTCCCAGTTAATAAAGAGAGAAAAAGACTAAAAAAGAGGAAAGGATTTACCGTATAATCGTCCAGGAGCTCGGAGTTGACAAGCGCAATCACCTGCAGGTCCTTCAGGTCAATCTGCACGTTCACATCACCGGTCTGTCGCTGATCGTAGATCGCCTTGGCCACCGCGGGAAGAATCGCGATGGTGACGAGACAGGCCGCGATAACGAGGAAGCCATGCAGGACGAGCATGATCTGTGATCGATTCTGACGTGAAGAGGACTGAAAAATGGATGGTAGCGAACGTCCTGGAGGCCCCGACCTGATGCGCCTCACCGCCTCCGGCAGGAACCCGTTAACAAGACAGCCGGTTTACTCTCGAGATACGGGATTCAATCCCGCATTCGCACGTACATACAAAACCGGTATACACATCGCCCGGTGGACACCTCGTCTCGTATTCTTGCGTCTCTCTGTCACCTCCCAGCGTTCGTACAGCGAGTACGATGCCCGGCCATTGCCCTCTCGCCGCTACGCGGTCTACCTTGACAGCCGGCCTTCGGAACGCGTATAACATCGCGTGTGTATATGCAATCGGATCGTCGCTCACATATATTTTGGTATAGGCTTTTGTACCTCGGTCATCAGAAGTGTTTGCACGTGCCCGTAATGATCTCGAGAGAATCTGGACAGGCGGGATGGTACTGTCTACTTGGCGTCTGTTCAAGAGATTTACTCGAGAGAGAGAGAGAGAGAGAGAGAGAGAGAGAGAGAGAGAGAGAGTACTTCCTAGACATATATAAATAGAGTAAAGAGATCTGCAAGAGGGAATGAAGTGCTCTTGAAAGAATTGCAACGTATGAAACTTTACGATGTATCGTTTTGTAATTCATTGTAATAATTTCCTCTCAAGGAAAATATGTCTTTCAAATATTCAAGCAGAACATATAAGTCATCCTGACATCAAAACGACTCTAAATTGATTATTGGAAAATTATAAAAAAATTACTTTATCATTAATAACTATCATTTTAATGTCATTTTGACGTTATCATGACTTGTCTGCTCGGGTATAATCTTGTTATGAGATGTAGATGAATGTGAAAGATGTAGATTCTGTGAAAGAATATCCAAGGAACAATACAGAAAATCTCTGGCGCTAATCCAGATTTTAATTTTAATTAGACCTATCTTCTGAGTTTATTTAAAATTCTAATATCCGTTTTCACCAATGTTCTAATTTTTAAAGCTAAAAAATGAAGAGAAATTGAAGTGAGATTAGAATTAATATATATTGATAGAAATAGGCATAATGGTTGAATACAAATAGAAGTTAAATACAAATAGAAATGTAAAAATATTTCAAGAAATAGAATTACAGTTTAAGAATTATTCTTTAATAACGCGCAATCTGTCTCCTTTTTACAAGCAGTCATATTTTTATGTGTGATAAATTGACACAAGAAGAAAAAAAGCGCATCAAGTATATAAAATAAATAAAAGATATATATTTGAGATTTTAACAATTTAATATAAAATTCCGGCAATCTTTCGAAGCATTCGAAAAACGCGCGCATGTAAATGCCAGAGTAGTTCCTCTCGCTACAAGTGCACTTTCCACACTTCCCTTCACCCCTCACCTGTATTCGCGCCGTTGGAACGCGAAAGTGCACATCAAACACATCTAATTTTATTCTTCATAATTAAATTTTTCATACAGTTCATTCCTCTTTTTTCTCCTTTCAACCTTCAATTATTTATCTATTTCATTCGAAGTGCAGGGAACTATGACATAATACAGATGGTACGGATACAAAGAACAGGTTTCACAGGGGTTGAAGAAAGAAGTGTAGGCGGCCCGCGGATTCTCTCTTGTTGCACCTGCTTACACCTTGCGTTTGTGTGTTGTAATCGGCGAGGATGCAAACAATAATCTGTCACCTAATAATGACGCCGAGGCGAAATGTCGCGCGCCGCCGCGTGCGCACCTAGCCTCGGGTGCGGAAAATCGTCGGCCGTGCAGCGCGGAGGGATCGTCATCGTCGTCGTCGCCCGAACCGCGATCCCGATCGTGCGGTACAGCCTGACACTTTCGGAGCGGTGCCGTTCACGCGCTCCGTGGGATGCGTTCCTGCCGCACTCGTAAAGCATCATCTGTTGTTTACCTTTCGACGACCCTCGCGTCATCGGCGACCTTTATCATGTTACGCGCTGACACGAACGATGCTCCAATTTTTTAAGAAGATTGGTAATTATATCATACGCTTTTATGTCGTGACGTAAATTACGAAGCGGACGAATCATCTTCTTTGTCTAGCACGCACAATCTTAAGTGTCCAAGCCTGACCTTCTGACATTTTCAACACGCAACATGTTTTCTTTTTATTATTATTTCTTCTTTCATTCTTGTTTATACTGAGATATTTGGAAATTGCGTTTTACTATTTAAATTGAAATTTTGCCTATTTATATATATATTTCCACACACACACCACACACACACACACACACACGCGCGCGCGCACGCACACACACACACGCACGCACGCACACACACAAAATTTACATTCAAAAGTAAATTAAATTTTCTAATAATTATTCTTGAAAAGTGACTGTTTACAATATAGTACACATTTTTCATCAATTTTAATGATTTCGTTTTTAATTGTCATCAGAATGAAATTGCATATAATGTTTCTAGGACAGAGGGATAAGTCCGGAATACCAGAAACTTCACCTACAAAATTGACAAGTTCCGGAAACTTTCTGATAGATGTATTCAATGATGGTGCATCGTCTATTCAGACATCCTCGGGTATATTGTACAGTCTCGAAGAAGAAGAGGAGGAGGAGATTCTCAATAATGACATTAAGGAAGTATGCGCCTTCAGTTCTCGGTTGTCTAAAGCTCTGCCGGAAATACTTAAGGACAAAAGTGCCCTTGGTTATTTCATCCAGTTTATGGACATCAGAAAGCACATAGCTCTCATTAAGTTCTGGTTAGAAGTGGAATGTTTGTGTAGTGCATTCGAGATGCCAGATACACAGAAAGTCAGACAGTCAAATCAAAAGGAGATAATGAACGCCTTGCCTACTTCCTTAGACGATAATGAAAACTTTAGCTGTGACATGCTCGCTAGCAATGTAAATACTCAAACGAGCAGTGAAATACCATTCGATGAGAGAACATGTGATGTAACGTCTAACGATATGCCAAAGACTAGTCAGGCAATAAGCGACACGCGACAATCAAATCACGATTGTGAAGGTAAGAGACACGACACAACGACGACTAGGCAGGATGCTTTGAGAATTTACAAGAAGTATATTCTCAAAGAAGCTCTGGATGTAAATCAAATATCTGAAGAATTAAGGCTAGATATGGAGAAGGCTATTGTCCAGGAAAACATTGAGCCTATATTACGGTGCCTATCTGCTGTTCAAAACATAGTATACGATATATTAGAAAACGAGTAAGTAATGTATATTCATATATTGATAAATGTCGTTCGAATAAATAATCAATGCATTTTAAAACATTATATTTTTCGCAGATATATTAATGATTTTTTACGAAGCGAATTTCACTGTAAGCATCAAATTGACGTGCTCACTAGTGGCAATGTACAATTAGCAGATATATTATACAACGAAACAGCATTCTTTTATTTCATGGAGGTTTGCATCGTCTTTCACGATCATTATTTTACAGAAATTTTCTGAGAGATTTTGTTCTTTACAGTTTATGGAACTTGAGAATAAGCGAGAATTATTGGACTTTTGGATGTCGGCTATAAGTTATAAGCAGAATTTCTTGGAGAAACAGGGAGCAGCCAATCCTGAAGAAGTGCAATCTGATGCCGTTATTATTTACGAGAAGTAATTTCTAAAATATATATGATTATACGGAGGAAAGAAGTTATGAAGGAAAGAAGTTATGAAGAAAGAAGTTAGGAAGGAAGAAAAATAATTTATAATGTTATTACCTTTCTCACAGATATTTCAGTTTACAAGCAACTATGCCTCTTGGATTTAGTGACAAGATTCGTTTTCATGTGGAACAAAATATTTGCCGTGAGGATGAGAGCGGTCCACAACCCGATTGTTTTGATAAACCTAGTAAAATTGTATATAATTTTCTCAACAAGGTACATTCATCTATTACACAAATTTATCTTGATCTCCATATATCACACTTACTAAATAGACTCTTACATTGAAGTAGTTGTATTAAAAGCCAATACTTTCTTTTAGCATTATTTGCCAGTGTTCTTATCGTCGCAGCTGTATTATAAATACTTATCAGAGTTAATCAACACAATTCAAACCAGTCCATGTCCGAGTTTACATTCCAAGATAAGAAGAACAGGTTGATATCGATTGTTGATTGCAATATTGTGTTAATATTCATAAAAGAATATTAAAGAATTAGAGAGTCATATTTTAATATCTGTGTTTTCTTCTTTTATATATGTAATGTTTATAGATATTGGGTTGTCCGGAAAGTTCGATTTTGAAAAAAAATTGAAACGCAGATTTAAATTTTAATATACATTTATTAA